GACTTCTCACATTATCAAGGAACTATAGTTGTAGTCTTGCCCTTATATGGCTTCCTGTTGATGTTTTGTTTTTATAGTTCCTTGATAATTGGAGAAGTCACGAAACTGCTTGGAATTTCGCTTATCATTCACAGTCGTTGTGTGTGTGTGTGTGTGTGTGTGTGTGTGTGTGTGTGTGTGTGTGTGTGTGTGTGTGTGTGTGTGTGTGTGTGTTGCATGTATACAAATATGTCTGTGTTGTGAGATCTGGTGAAATAATTTATATTAAACATTTGTGAAATACTACCCACTTCATATATAAAAATATTCTGATTCAGTTGGTCTGTCATTTACAATAATTAGAATAAATTACAAATTTATATTCTGTACTTCATGATCAAAATAACAAGTTGAATTAAGCATGTTTATGCATACATAAATTTGTTTATACACGTATTTCAGCTGCAAACAATTATACACTCACATTATCAGTATTATAGTGAATTAATGTAATATATCTCTTGCTGCGTGGTTTCTTGCTTGCTTATGGCGTGGCTGAGAGCGTGGTTTCTTTAAATTTAAATAGGTCAGTAAATAGGTATACCACGGATAAATCACAAATAGGTGAATCACAAATAAGTAATCCATAATAGGTAATAAATAGGCAGTTACTAACTAAAATTGCAACGAGTAAACTGCCAGAGACAACAGGAGAAAGTTTTAGGACACAATCGCGAGAGAGAGAGAGAAAGAGAGAGATCGGGGGAGAGGGAGAGAGACCAGCAGAGGAAGTGGTGGAGGAGAGAGAGAGATCTTGTTACGCGACCTAAACGCACACAGCTCTTACTTTAGTAGAAATTAGAAGGCACTTGCCACACCAACTTATGTACACAGCACTTACTGTAGTAGAAGTTAAAAGGCACTTAAAAAAAAACTGTAGACATCAAGGATAATGGAACTAGGTAAATTTTCACCTTAACAGTAAGTACAATGGAGTTCAACCAGTAATGCCAGCCGATGAAGCGAGTACGGGAGCTAGGACTCTCTCTCTTTTCTCTCTCTCTCTCTCTCTCTCTATCTATCTCTCTCTCTCTTACTAGCTCGCTCTGTTCAAGGAATTCAATATCCCCTTCATACAGTCAGTGCCACGTTCTCCAGCTCACCGTAGAGATAATCGAGTACCTACGTCTTCACTAGTATTTAGAGAGGGCAGCGAGGAAGGGGCTGCCTCACTTGCAGGAAAATCATGAATCCTTAAGACGCAGTGATCTACTTTGTTGAACGTCTGCAACTGCACACGATCTCGCAGAGTGCAGATATCTCCTGAGGTGCTCCCTGAGTTGCTCCTTGAGGTGCTCCCTGAGGTGTTCCCTGAGGTGCTCCCTGAGGTGCTCCCTGAGGTGCTCCCTGAGTTGCTCCCTTAAGTGCTCCCTGAGTTGCTCCCTGAGGTGCTTCCTGAGGTGCTCCCTGAGGTGTTCCCTGAGGTGCTTCCTGAGGTGCTCCCTGAGGTGTTCCCCGAAGTGCTCCCTGAGGTGCTTCCTGAGGTGCTCCCTGAGGTGTTCCCTGAGGTGCTCCCTGAGGTGCTCCCTGAGGTGCTCCCTGAGGTGTTCCCTGAGGTGCTCCCTGAGGTGCTCCCTGAGGTGCTCCCTGAGGTGCTCCCTGAGGTGTTCCCTGAGGTGCTCCCTGAGGTGCTCCCTGAGGTGCTCCTTGAGGTGCTCCCTGAGGTGCTCCCGGTACTGATACTCCAATTCTCTTAAATTATATTATGTTCAGCTTCACCTGGGTGTGCTTGAAGAGCAGATGTGATATCTCGATTGCTCTCTCATATTGCAACGTTATCGTGCCTTTATTGCTCCATTGTCTTGTTTTATGGAGCAGCATTATTGTACTTTATATTTCAACATTATCGGTTTATGTATTGCAGTATTTCTTTCTTTAATTTCAGCATTTTCTGTGTAGCATTGTCGTGCTTTGTACTGAAACATTATCGCGAGTCTTATTACATCATTATCGTGCATTGTATCGCATCATTATAGTGCGTTTTATTGCATCATTACCGTGCGTTTTATTGCATCATTACTGAACTTTTTATTGCATCATTATCGTGCTTCATATTGCATTATTTTCGTGCCTCATATTGAAACATTATTGTGCCTCATACAGCAGCATTATCCTATCTTATATTGCAGCATTTTAGTGCCTTAAATTCCAGCCTTATTGAACCTTACACTACGCCTGTAAATTTGAGTTTCTAACAGCATGTGACTGCATAATAATTCTTTTATTATAACTACGCACGGACGAAAGAAGAAATAATTAGTTAATGGTGTTTACTAAGTACTCTATTAGACTAGTCTGTTTTTTTCATTAAATCGTCACAAAAATATAAGCAAATAAAGTCGTTAACTACCATGTATGTACGTTATTTGCTGATGACACCAAAATAGGCCGTCCAATTCATTCTAATGAGGACACTAGAGCACTCCAGGATGATTTGAATAGACTGATGCAATGGCCGGAGAAGTGGCAGATGCAGTTTAATATTGACAAATGCAAAGTTCTAAATGTTGGACAGTTAAATAACCATGCCACATATAAACTAAATAATGTAGATCTTAATACTACTGATTGCGAAAAGGATTTAGGAGTTCTGGTTAGCAGTAATCTAAAACCAAGACAACAGTGCATTAGTGTTCGCAATAAAGCTAACAGAATTCTTGGCTTCATATCTAGAAGTATAAATAATAGAAGTCTTCAGGTTGTTCTTCAACTCTATATATCCTTGGTTAGGCCTCATTTAGACTATGCTGCTCAGTTCTGGTCACCGTGTTACAGAATGGATATAAATGCTCTGGAAAACGTACAGAGGAGGATGACAAAGATGATCCCATGTATCAGAAATCTTCCCTATGAGGATAGACTGAGGGCCTGAATCTGCACTCTCTCGAAAGGCGTAGAATTAGGGGGGATATGATCGAGGTGTATAAATGGAAAACAGGAATAAATAAAGGGATGTAAATAGCGTGCTGAAAATTTCCAGCCAAGACAGGACTCGCAACAATGGTTTCAAGTTGGAAAAATTCAGATTCAGGAAGGATATAGGAAAGCACTGGTTTGGTAATAGAGTCGTGGATGAGTGGAACAAACTCTCGAGGCTAAAACGTTGTGTAGTTTTAAAAATGGGTTAGATAAATACATGAGTGGGTGTGGGTGGGTGTGAGTTGGACCTGACTAGCTTGTGCTGCTGGGTCTGGTGCAGTGCTCCATCCTTGAGTGGAGGTGACCAGACTGGGTGGGTCATTGGGCTAATCCGGGGGGGGATCATTGGTCAAATCCGAGGGGGGGCATGGACCTGCTCCGCATGGGTCGGTAGGCCTGCTGCAGTGTTCCTTCTTTCTTATGTTCTTATGTTCTCATAATGCCACCTGTACATACCACCTGCTGTGGTACGTACAGTACGTCACGAGTGATGACCTGGTCATCACCTGTTGTGGTAACCAGATCCTTTAAATTTATAAGTTTTAAAATGTTCTAGCGAAAGGAAACCTCTAGCTGGTAGTGGAGGTGAGGCTTCTGCTGCTGGTGCTGCTGTTAATTGTGATAATACAGGTGGTGGTGTGCTGCTGGCACCACCACGATGGTAGTGGTGCTAGTGTTGTTGTTTCTTCTTCTTCTTCTTCTTCTTCTTCTTCTTCTTCTTCTTCTTCTTCTTCTTCTTCTTCTTCTTCTTCTTCTTCTTCTTCTTCTTCTTCTTCTTCTTCTTCCTCCTCCTGCTCCTCCTCTTCGTCCTTTTAACACCTACTTTATTTTCAGTTTTATATAGAGTGGCGAGGCTCCTTCTCCCAAAATGTTTCCAATTTCTAACCAACTGAGTAGAAAATATTTTATAATTTCGCGCACAAGCCAATGATTAAGATAATTTACATCTTGGAAGCTTCCTATGAAGCTTCCAGGAGTCCAAGGCCAGGGAAAAGCTTAATCTGATTAACGGGTCACATCTCCCGGGTACATAACATCTAACAAACACAAGTATTAATGCAGGGGATACTGATGCAATACAGAGTAGGTGTGTGCTGCTGTGAGAGCAGCTGCGTTAATATTAAAAACATGAGCTTCTTAGCAATGTTGTCGCAGCATTCACGGTGTCAGGTGGACCACATTAAGTTCTGCAGTGAGTGTTTACCAAGGCACAGCTCGTCAGAGGAGGCAAAGGTGTTTGCCTTTAGCTTATCAGAGGTCGTAAAAGTGTTTGCCTACAGCTCATTAGAGGTCGCATAAGTGTTTGCTTACAGCTCATCAGAGGTCGCAAAAATGTTTACTTACAGCTCATCAGAGGTCGCAAAGTGTTTACTTACAGCTCATCAGAGGTCGCACAAGTGTTTGCTTACAGCTCATCAGAGGTCGCACAAGTGTTTGCTTACAGCTCATCAGAGGTCGCACAAGTGTTTACTTACAGCTCATCAGAGGTCGCACAAGTGTTTGCTTACAGCTCATCAGAGGTCGCACAAGTGTTTGCGTATAGCTTATCAGAAGTCCCACAAGTGCTTACTTATAGCTCATTAAAGGTGGCACAAATTTTTGCATATTCACAGCTCATAGGTCACACAAGATGGAACGTTTCTGAAACACAGACAGTCGAAGGCTACATAGAACTGTGGACAGCCTATCAAGGTCGAGTTGATATCAGAGGTCGATTTCCAAAGCTCTATGATTACACACACATTTCCATACATATCCATTCAATTTCTCTCCTTATTTCTTTACTGTAACATAAATAACGAGGGAGCGAAGCAATGCGTTCACTCACACGGCCAAGATACTGGGAGTACAAATGGGAGTACATGGGAGTACAAATGATAGGTGTCAAATCTGTGTAATAAGTATGCTATACGAGGGGAATAAAACACAAGTTTAGAATACAGTTTTATTTCAAAATGTGTGTTTTATGCCACAATACAAACTTTATTACGGTAATAACACATTTTGTGTCTTCCTGCTATGATAACTTTAGTTAATATGATTATATTATACTTATATCCATAAGTACATGCATATAAAGAGGTGAGAGAGAGAGAGAGAGAGAGAGAGAGAGAGAGAGAGAGAGAGAGAGAGAGAGAGAGAGAGAGAGAGAGAGAGAGAGAGAGAGAGAGAGAGAATGAAAATATAAAAAAATTTCATTATTTAAAATTTCCTTGTCAAATGTACTCAAGTTTAATAACCTTGTGTATCTTACTATCAAAGTCATATCTGACATACTCTGTTTGCTATATATTAGTACAATGAGCAAAAAGTTTTCATTTTCTATGCAAGACTAGGTTATCTCTGCTGAGGTTACCTTCCTAAGTATGATACGTTATTGAAATAGTTATTAAGTCAATTTATTGCAGCCAAGCTTTCATCATTGCATGTATGCATCAGTCATGTGTACAGGTGAGAGCACATGCAAACAGTTCAGTGTACGTATGCATCTCCTCTTGAACACATGCTTATGCATCATTGAGCGAGTAATCTCGCTAAAGTGCATCGTAATTACGAGATTTATTTATCCGCAAGAACTATATTCACAGGAGTTACAGAGGAAGATTTCAGGTAGCGATAATAGACAGGTAAGTTTTTCTCTCTCTCGGAAAAAAAGAGGTTTGTCATGTGAAGGTCATGAGTGGCTTAAATGTCAGTGACGTAAATGTCCATTCGTTTCGTAAATCAATTTTTAATGCTTTATACTTATGATATTGATGAGCAATTAAATATCCACATACACTGCTTCTGAGTGAAAGGTTAAATATGAATACATGTTGACGTAAGTGTTTGAGTGTTTGATCCATATACCTGTGTCTCAAAGAAGCAACAGCTGTTCTTTTCTTAGTATCTTGAATATTTACATGTACACGTCATGGCTTCTTACTGGTAAGCATAAACAAACATCAGCTGGCCTATATGGAGGCACCTGCTTATTAAAATAGACTCTGGGGTGAGAGTGCAAAGAGATGTGAATATGAATGTATGCAATGTGAATATCTTTGTGTTCACAGAATTCACACAGTGGCAGAGTTCTTTGCCAAAATCCACAAGTTGTGCAACTTTTTTCTGGATCAGTTATGCGCATGTTTATGAAAAGGAAAACAGAGTGAGGCTGACTCTTCAGAATATCCAACAGAATTAGAGGCTATCGGTTAAAAGATGATCCTGTCAGGACACTGCATGTTCCGCTGTCAAATTGATATTACCAGCCTCTTCTGCAAACCTAAACATTATAAGAACTTCAAATGCAAACAGACTAACAGAAGCAAGGGCCATTTACAGGCTCACTGATATGTTATTCACAGTCACTCTTACAATGTTGAAGATTTGAAAGGAAATCACTAAGTCATGGTCTGACCATCGTCAGTCCTCTCACTCCCAGGTGGCTTCTGCTGTCCGTTCTCTCTGACGTTCACGAAAATCACTAAGAAAATTTGTGGCAGGATATCTTGCAAGATGCAGCTCGTTTGTATCAAGCTGCTGACACTGATGTGTAATAATATATGCTGGGACAATACTTTAAGTTATGTCATTTACAGAAATTATTTTCAACTTGAACTTCGTCATAAAATGGCATTATCTTATGAATTCTATGCACATGTTTATTTCCTGTCATAGGTTTGTCAACGAATAAAACAGGTGATTTTCAAACAGTTCATGCAGCATATTGAAGGGTTTATCAGCAGTGAATCCTCACCTGGGTCATATTATCATTTCTTCACAAGTCTGCTTCCACAGGTCTGTATTAAAAGGTGTACACCAGTGTGACTCTGTCAGTTAAGTTTGCACCACGTGAACACACTTTTTTCCTGGTTTACAGAGACTCTTTAGCAAACTCTAGGACATATTAGAAAACGCTTCGGTCCTGGAACCTCGATCCCTTCAAACGTTTTCTCATAAATGTCCTAGTGCTTATTAACGTGTATTTTTAAACCAATTTACCGGTATCTACTACCAAGATTTATACCATAGTTTTTTTTTCTGCCCTTGACTGACAAAATCTTACTTGAGAAGCAACAGTAGAAGAACAAGTGATATTGCATTTATATCTATCAATTAAACAAGAACAGAGTACGGATGTTGCAGGTCTCACTGATACTTTTGCTTCTAATCATAACAAGGAAAGAATCACACTGCTATAACTTTTCAGTTACCTTCAGACACTCATTGGAGAAAAGTTGATAACTTAGACACTTGTGCTACATTTGGGTGTCTTTACTGAGGAAACGTTTCGCTAGCCAGTGGTTGCATCAGCCTAATACAGAGAAGAGCAGCGGAAACTGAGTAATTTGAGGTAATCAGTCCATCCTCTCCAGGCTGAGGGACTAATTACTTCAAACTCCTGATCTACAGCCGTTCTTCTCTGTATTGAACTGATGAGGAAAAAAGACATTTGTATACCGGTCAGAACATTTATTAGAGGAAACATTTCACCATGAGTGGCTTCTTCAGTCCACTGAACAGATGAATCCACTAGCTCAGTGAAGATATCCCAATGATACACAAGTGTCTCATTCTTCAACTTCAGAACAGAGTTAATATATTGTGTTCTAGATATCTATCATCACATCAGTAAGGCCGAGGTGAACACCATTATTCTGATAGCTTTTGTATTGAAGTAATTTCATGTAGTTATGTGAATGAAGGATGTTTAGATAACACTGCTAGTTTTGTTGATTTGTATTATACACTATTAAGTAAAAAAACAGGTGACTTGCTCTCCCATCGTAGTGTTTCCAGGTCGTCGTCTTCCCAGCCAGATAGCCACCTCTCACTCCCCTGCACGGAAATTCTGGTGCCGCCCCTGAATACAAATGTTCTGTTGTATGACTCGCGAAATCGTAATGACACGATTGTAAACTCACCGAACAGAGAGTTTAAACTCATGGTAAATGTCAGTTCTAAACTAGCAAGCCTGCTAGTTTCGCCGTTCGGTGAGTTATTCGGCTGTATTGTAAATTAATTGACACACAGTTACTAACCTCCTGCGTAAGGTGCTATTAGGTGCAACGCTGACTCCAGTATCTTAGTTTCCTCACTCACAGGAGAGAAGAATATAGTTCTCTTAAATAACAAGAATATTTAACCTCAAAAATTAGTAATTTTCTTAAAAATAAGGTAAGTCACTTGTTTATTTATTCTAAATTGGAGATCACGTGTAAAAGTATATATACTTAGAAACTATCTTTGATGATTGTTCTTGAGGATGAGAGGAAGAGAGGGTGGTGGCCTAGACAGGTATATGCGACACTGCTGGAACATAATGATGGAAGAGGTGAGTTGAAGTGGTGGAGGCTGGCAGGTGTGCAGGTCAGTGTCAGGTGAGCAGGATCAGCAGCAGGGTGAACAGGGAGGCAGCTGGCACCAGCAGCATGGTAGTCACCCAGGTGGCTGAGTTGCCGTGGTGCATGGCAGCTGGTGGATCTCCTGTAGATCAATAATTTTTGAACTGTAATTTTTTTTAGATTATTAACTCTTCAAACAAATCAGCTTATTTTTAAGCTACGTCCTACGTAAGGTACATTAACACAGTCCCAGGTGACCGCCCATGACAGTCGGCTAACATCACGGTAATACATCATCTCTCCAGCACCAGTTCTCCAGCATCAGTCCTCCAGCACTATCTCTCCAGCACTTGCCCTCTAGCACTATCCATCCAGTACCAGTCCTCTAGCACCACCCCTCCAGCACCATCCCTCCAGCACCATCCCTCCAGCAACATTCCTCCAGGAATATCTATCCAGTACTAGCCCTCCAGGACTAGTCCTCTAGTACCTGCCCTCTAGCACCATTTCCCCAGCACCATCCCTCCAGCACCAGTCCTCCAGCACCATCCCTCCAGCACCAGTCCTCCAGCACCATCCCTCCAGTACCAATCCTCCAGCACCATCTCTCCAGCACCAGTCCTCCGGCGCCGGTCGTCTAGCATTATTCCTCCAGCACCATCCTTCAAGCACCGGTTCTTCAGTACTATCCCTCCAGCACCATCCCTCCAGCAGCAGCAGCAGCAGCGAGACTGTGTCCCGCTGGGATCAGTGTGTGTGGAGGCAAGAAGTGGAGGCCTCATCTACAAGTCAAGTAGCTGGTGCAGCTGTGACCAGACTCCTGCCCTGCGCTCAGCCCTTAACTGCTAGACTGCAGCTGCTCAACCTTGTCAAATATGATATTTCTCACGCTGCTTGCAGAATATTTAAAGCTATTTTACTTATGCTACATAAAAATAATTACTGTATGTCCCTTGCATGCAGCAGGTTCCGTTAGTCATATTAACAGGTCATGTATTTTTAGAGAAATTGTTTAGTCAGACATTTCATTTAATGATAAATCACAGTTTGAAGAATTCTAGTTTTAGAAGTATGGTTTGTTCTAACACTGTGGACAGGCTATATATCGTTACCTAGTACGATTTATTTGACAAATAAATGTTTCAAAAACATATATCGTCTATGATGTAAAGAAGTTCGTTAAAAATAAAGTCGTAGCTAACCTTTAACAGATAAAAGTTTGACAAAATCAAAGTCTTGTATTAATCTGCTTTAGTAAAATAACCAGATCTTACTAAAGTAGTTATATTGACTGATGACACAAAGTTACAGGCTTCCTGTTTGACGTAGCAACATTATAGTTACCTTGTATGACGTGGACGATGACACTGTCGGGTCGACCTGCGGAAGGCCAGCAGGAATAGTTTCCCGAGTCATGGAGCGCTGCGCCGGCCACCTTGAGGGTACTTGTGGTGACGTTCCCAATATTAGTCACCACACTGACCCTGCCTGAGTCTCGGTCCACCAACCGATCATCCTGATACCACAACACCAGTCCTGTAGGGTACCAACGTAATTGGTGACTTACTCGTTACTTGTACTACTAATCTCTTTCCAGAGGGGACTTGATAAGCCCCCAACAGCTCATCCAACCCAGCGTTCTCCAAAAACTACTGATCACTCTGCTGGATATGTCTGCGTCGTAATACTGGTAGCTGTTACCAACAACTAGGCTAACAGAGTCATCAACCAGGAAGCAGGGTCTGAAATTAGGCCGGAGAGGCTTTGTTCTTGCCTATGCCACAGTTCTGTATCTCAGTAGCAGTTTTCTTGTGAGTTTCATCTGCCCCTCAGTTCTTAAAAGAGAGCTTTAAGACCAGAGGATAATTACATACCTTGGAAAGTGATATTTAAAGTATGCTTTTCATCTTCCGTTCTTGGTGCCCTTTTCAACACAAAGCCTGAGAAATTCTGAAATATTGATGTAAATTTTAGCCCTATACCTTTCGTAATCTGTCAGGAAGGTCAAGCATGCACGTGAGATTCATGTACGGTAGTAGGCCATTTATTGAGGATACTTATCAATATCCAGGGGCTGTATAATTCCTCTCTCATCGCTGCCACCAACACCATCATTATCTTGAAAATATTGGCCAATCACTTTCTTAATAATCCAAACAATGTCATTACCTAAACTCCACCCAGCCCTTGGAGTCCCTCACTGGACTTCAAGTATTTACTCTATTCTTTCGTGTTCTCCGTAATAGATGACAAAACCCCTGCTGGACGAAACTTCTCCTCATTAAATGTAATAACACATATGTATCTCATATTCAGTAACTGTCTGTATCAGTCACTATTTGAAGAAATAAGAAGGTTCGTTAAATATTCAGTATCCTACATACATTCAGCTTTTCATCCCATGTCCATTTTCCAGCACACTAAATTTTCCAGCACACATTCAACTCTCCAGCATGCATTCTTCTTTCCAGAACACATTGTTTTCCCTCAAAAATTTCACTTCCAGCGCACATTCGACTTTGCAACACATTCTATTTTCCAGGATACATTCATCTTTCCAGAATATATTTTATTTTCCAACAGCTAGTAAGACTTATTATAGGACTGAACTTACTATAACCTCACTATGGAAGTGTGTGTTGGTTCTCCCATACAAAGGTAATCTTTAGGTTTTTGCCCTAAAATGTTTTAACACACGCGCGTCTTCCAGAATTCAAGGATTTAAGAACGCATTGATCAAGAACTCACGAAAAAAAAAAAAAAAAAAAACTGAGGTGTGTACACAGTGGGTTGCAGCGGTTGTAATTTATTTTACATCGGAGAAACAGGTAAATACCCTGAATCTAGGTTAGCACAACAACAACACTCGATCCAGATATACGAGTATGTAATAACCCAGCTAAATGATCAGAAGCCTTCCGAATTATAGTTCGTAGCGCGTCATGGTAGGAGAGAAATATCTTAGAATCGGCGATTATATAACATGATAACCTTTCATTATGTAAGTATAGCTTAGGCTTGTACAAACTCAATTCATACCTCACTGAGGCCACTGTACATAATCTCAAACCGGTAATTTCGCGAATACTCCAGACTACATTTAATATCGTGATACAGCATAAACATCAGGATGAATGTCTGCCTCTGTATGTTAGAAATCCTGTTTTTCAACTCTAACCAGGCTTGGTACACATTACGTTAGATCATTTGTCTCCTAATATTTTGTGGGGAACTAGCTCGTTTTATAGGTTATTTGTTTCGATGTTGCATGTTTACGTGTGTGCCACAATTCCCATATGGGCCCGTTCACCCTGTGACTCGCCTTTGATTTCGACATTTTTGCTGCTAATTTAAAAGTGAATAAGTTCCATAAGTGTATATATACAACAAATGGACACGTTACTTTTTATTAACACGATAGTAGGCATTGTGCTAGGCGCCAAGGTATTGTCCAGTGTGGTGAGAATGGTATAGCACTGCGTACCTTGTTCCAAGGTTCTTAGGTTCGAGTCTCCTTCGGCCAGAGATCAGTGTTTGCGTACATATATATATATATATATTATATATATATTATATATATATATAATATATATATATATATATATATAATATATATATATATATATTTGAGGTGCTATACATTTCATTCACCTGAGATACAGAAATGAAAGGAGAACGAGAATTTATAAAGGGGACTCAAAGGTATGCCTAGAATACGTGAGGTGTTTCATCAGTGCATCCTTTCCTAAATCAGTTCATCCTACATGTCTCCACCAACGTTTTTACTTTCAGCAATGAACTTCACAGAAAAAAAAATGTATGCAGTACGAGCAGCCCCCTACCACCAGTGCTTGCCTACCTCAAAATGAATTTGTACGAGCTCCCACACCCACCGCGAAGATCCAAGTCACGCTTTGCTTCAGATGCACCAGTGATATATTCACTACTTGAGAAGATTACTACGGCTCAGGTACTCAATCAACTGATACCATCTATTCATTTCAATGGAGAATGGGAAGACAATCATCACGTGCACCTTCTAGACACACTCATCACAAGAGAAAGTAACGAAATTGCATTCCCCTTTAAGCGGAAACCCACATACACAGCCATTCTTTAGTAACCACTCTACGTAAATCAAGAAAAGAACGGTTTCCAACCTCTGTGAGGTTGGACACCATAAGAGGTTGGACACCTCTTTCATGGATATTATCGAGATTCCATTTTGAGCCTGACATATCAAGAATGGTTTGCTGAAATCCTCAAAAAAAAAAAGAAAAAAAACAGTATACGTTACTCTTCCAAACACAAAGACCTACACTGACCAGATTCCGCACACTCCTCAACCAAAACATCCAGAGACTCCACAACATATTCAGAATCACCTCGTGTTATTCAACGTCAACAACAACTCCAAGAAACAAAAGAATCAAATATCCTCACTCACTTCAAGAGAATACCAAATCCTATGCAGCGACTGTGACAAAGTTCAGAGGCCAGACAGGAAGAGATCTGAAAACATGGCTCATCGAACACAAAAGAAACATCTGACATACATAGGAAAGGTTACTTTTACTATGGCCAGTAAGGGCCGAACGGCGTTTCAAGATATGCCCTAAGACAATATATTCCTGCATCCCACCTCACCAAAATTTCGAGCAAAACACCCTGCCTACTACTAGCACGTAAAAGTTTCAAAGCACCTCACCTTTAAATCTGATCAAGAACTTCACCTTTAACTCAGATCCTGCACTTCACATTCTACCTCGCCATAAACTGATAAAACACCTCACCTACTAAGGTGAGGTGTTTTACCTCTAAAAATACGAAGTCTTCATGGCTGTATATCTGAGACGGATCTCCTCAAAATTTCGTGCTTGTTCATGGAAGTAGCAGTTTGCGTTGTACCAATCAGCCACGAGGGTTCTATTAGGATGAATTTATAAGCCCACAGACAGACACACACAAACACACACCCACCCACCCAAACACACACACACACACACACACACAAGATGGATAAAGGTGATGAAATGCTCTTTGATGATATATTTGTGCACACAACACAGGGATATCTCACCAGGGATGACCAGCTCCTTGAAGACACACTGGTGTGCACACAACAAAGGGATAACTCACCAGGAATGACCAGCTCCTTGAAGTCACACTGGTGTGTACACAACACAGGGATAACTCACCAGGGATGACCAGCTCCTTGAAGTCACACTGGTGTGTACACAACACAGGGATAACTCACCAGGGATGACCAGCTCCTTGAAGACACACTGGTGTGCACGTAACACAGGGATAATCACCAGGAATGACAGCTCCTTGAGTCACACTGTGTGTACACAACACAGGGATAACTCACCAGGGATGACCAGCTCCTTGAAGACACACTGGTGTGCACACAACACAGGGATAACTCACCAGGAATGACCAGCTCCTTGAAGTCACACTGGTGTGTACACAACACAGGGATAACTCACCAGGGATGACCAGCTCCTTGAAGACACACTGGTGTGTACATAACACAGGGATAACTCACCAGGGATGACCAGCTCCTTGAAGCCACACTGGTGTGCACGTAACACAGGGATAACTCACCAGGGATGACCAGCTCTTCCTTGATGACACACTCGAGGCTGACGGTACTCCCCTTCTGCACGTACATGGTCTCCTTTCCCAGGATGTTGGCCCGAGCCTCTGCCGACATATGCCATCAACATTACAACTATTATTACATAAATCTAGGCATTGACAACGACGCAGAAATGAAGAAAAATCAATATTCTCCAGTTTCCCTTCTTCTCGGTTATACATGAATATGTACGGGAAATTTATTTCAAGTAGTTAGTGTTATTTGGCTAAAAAAAATATCGCTGAATAAGCCATGCCCCACCATCACTCCTATAACAGAATAAGGTCTGCCAAATAGGTTTCTGATATCCTCACTACCCCAGCCTTCACGTGGCTACTTGTTATGAATTGTTATTCAGTAACCGTAGAGTTAACTAAATACTGATGCATGAACAACATATTAATCAGTCATGTGTTGCTGAGCCTGCTGTTCCTCACCAAGCTTCAATATATCCTCGTATGACACCACTGAATTTCATCTAAAACTACGTTTATTTTCCACTTAATTGTCGTGGTAGCGAGATAATTTGATAACAAGTGAAATCCAGAGCAATATGTATCGTTGTTTACACGTAGCGTAAGTCAACATAACATGACAATGTGAGATTGGGAAGATATGGCCGACCAGTGTTGCTTCTGTGACCGTCCACAGTGTTACCTCTGTGACCGTCCACAGTGTTACCTCTGTGACCTTCCACAGTGTTACCTCTGTGACCTTCCACAGTGTTACCTCTGTGACCGTCACAGTGTTACCTCTGTGACCGTCACAGTGTTACCTCTGTGACCGTCCATAGTGTTACCTCTGTGACCGTCCACAGTGTTACCTCTGTGACCGTCCACAGTGTTACCTCTGTGACCGTCCACAGTGTTACCTTTGTGACCTTCCACAGAGTTACCTCTGTGACCTTCCACAGTGTTACCTCTGTGACCGTTCACAGTGTTACCTCTGTGACTGTTCACAGTGTTACCTCTGTGACCGTCCACAGTGTTACCTCTGTGACCGTCCACAGTGTTACCTCTGTGACCTTCCACAGAGTTACCTCTGTGACCTTCCACAGAGTTACCTCTGTGACCTTCCACAGTGTTACCTCTGTGACCTTCCACAGTGTTACCTCTGTGACCTTCCACAGTGTTACCTCTGTGACCGTCCACAGTGTTACCTCTGTGACCTTCCATAGTGTTACCTCTATGGCCTTCCACAGTGTTACCTCTGTGACCGTCCACAGTGTTACCTCTGTGACCTTCCACAGAGTTACCTCTGTGACCTTCCACAGAGTTACCTCTGTGACCTTCCACAGTGTTACCTCTGTGACCTTCCACAGTGTTACCTCTGTGACCGTCCACAGTGTTACCTCTGTGACCGTCCACAGTGTTACCTCTGTGACCTTCCATAGTGTTACCTCTATGGCCTTCCACAGTGTTACCTCTGTGACCGTCCACAGTGTTACCTCTGTGACCTTCCACAGAGTTACCTCTGTGACCTTCCACAGAGTTACCTCTGTGACCTTCCACAGTGTTACCTCTGTGACCTTCCACAGTGTTACCTCTGTGACCGTCCACAGTGTTACCTCTGTGAGCTTCCACAGTGTTACCTCTGTGAGCTTCCACAGTGTTACCTCTGTGAGCCTCCACAGTGTTACTTTTAAAACCGATGACAGCGTGGTCGACCTCAGGATTACCTGTGTGAAGGACCACAGGACGACAGGTTAACAAGCCATTTATATAATACTTTCATAATGTCAGTGCTAAATAAGAACATAGGAAAGGAGGAGCACTGCAGTAGCCCTGTTGGCCCATACTAGGCAAGTCCTTCACAGATCCATCAAACTAACAGAATAAACGCTACATAGTATTTGTCCATTAGGAATTATCTGCAAGTGACTGGTTCCTTATCTCAGCCTGCAGACATGTGTGAGCGTGTTAGGAGTGAATGGAGACGAATGATTTTTGGGACTTGACGAGCTGTTGGAGTGTGAGCAGGGTAATATTTTGCGATTTTTGGGACTTGACGAGCTGTTGGAGTGTGAGCAGGGTAATATTTTGCGATTTTTGGGACTTGACGAGCTGTTGGAGTGTGAGCAGGGTAATATTTTGCGAACTGATTCAGACAAACCGGTTAGCCGGACCTTTTTTAATGTATATTTGAGTACTAATCATATCATCTTTCCTCCAAGAAAGACTCAATTTTAGTTGTTAGAACAAATTTTAAATCAGCTTTGTAATTCACGTATCTAAGATATCTAAGGAGAAACATCGCCCCCTTCCCAGGGCAATGTTTCTCCTGTCTCTCACTAACTTTCATAGCTAATTTATATAACTAGAATACATAGCAGAACAACATTTCACATTTACATAGTTGATTTAGATGGCTTATATAGGCTTCTTACGTAGATATCTTAAATACCTGGCTTACGAAACTGATTTAAAATATTTTCTAATAATTAATATTATGTCCTTATTTAAGGAGAGACAATATTATTTGTATTCAAGGGTAAATTTAATTATAAATTTTGTGTACATCTCTACGTTGTCTCACTTAGCCAGCAGCCAGAGTACATGACCGACACAAGCGAGGACACAGTACATTGATGTTGCACAAGCAATAATGGAACTGGTCACTTGTTTCACATATGCAATAAAAGTAACATTAAATTGGAATCAAATAGATTGATTTATTAATGTAAGGAACAAAAAGGTACAATACCCTGACTTAAACAGCAAATAAATAACCCGCACATAGGAGAGAGAAGGAATTTAGGACGACGTTTCGGTCGGACTTGGGCCACGTACAAAGTCACACAAACTGAAAAGAGTGAGGTAGGAAGTTTAAACTGGTTCCCTCACTCTTATGATGGCCGCAAGGTAGTCGTGTGTTCCTTCTCTATCCTATGTATGGACTATTTGTGTACTAATGTAACGGTTTACTAGGAAGAAATAACCTACAATAATAAGGCTGTACCAGGAGGGACTGACCTACAACGGTAAGGCTGTACCAGGAGGGACTGACCTTCAACGATAAGGTTGTACCAGGAGGGACTGACCTACAACGGTAAGGTTGTACCAGGAGGGACTGACCTACAACGGTAAGTTTGTACCAGGAGGGACTGACCTGCAATGGTAAGGTTGTACCAGGAGGGACTGACCTACAACGGTAAGGTTGTACCAGAAGGGGCTGACCTACAACGGTAAGGTTGTACCAGGAGGGATTGACCTACAACGGTAAGGCTGTACCAGGAGGGACTGACCTTCAACGATAAGGTTGTACCAGGAGGGACTGACCTACAACGGTAAGGCTGTACCAGGAGGGACTGACCTACAACGGTAAGGTTGTACTAGGAGAGACTGACCTACAACCGTAAGGTTGTGCCAGGAGGGACTGACCAACAACAGTAAAGTTGTACCAGAAGGGACTGACCTACAACGGTATGGTTGTACTAGGTGGGACTGATCTACAACGGTAAGGCTGTACCAGGAGGGGCTGACCTTCAACGATAAGGTTGTACCAGGAGGGACCGACCTACAACGGTAAGGTTGTACCAGGAGGGACTGACCTACAACGGTAAGGTTGTACCAGGAGGGACTGACCTATAAAGGTAAGGTTGTACCAGGAAGGACTGACCTACAACGGTAAAGTTGTACCAGGAGGAACTGACCTACATCAGTAAGGTTGTACCAGGAAGGACTGACCTACAACGGTAAGGTTGTACTAGGAGGGACTGACCTACAACCGTAAGGTTGTGCCAGGAGGGACTGACCAACAACAGTAAAGTTGTACCAGAAGGGACTGACCTACAACGGTATGGTTGTACCAGGTGGGACTAATCTACAACGGTAAGGCTGTACCAGGAGGGACTGACCTTCAACGATAAGGTTGTACCAGGAGGGACCGACCTACAACGGTAAGGTTGTACCAGGAGGGACTGACCTACAACGGTAAGGTTGTACCAGGAGGGACTGACCTACAAAGGTAAGGTTGTACCAGGAAGGACTGACCTACAACGGTAAGGTTGTACCAGGAGGGACTAACCTACAACGGTAAGGTTTTACCAGGAGGGACTGACGAATTACAACGGTAAGGTTGTACCAAAAGGGTCTGAACTACAACGGTAAGGTTGTACCAAAAGGGTCTGATCTACAACAGTAAGGGTGTACCAGGAGGGACTGACCTACAACGGTAAGGTTGTGCCAAGAGAGACTGACCTACAACAGTAAGGTTGTACTAGGAGGGACTGACCTACAACGGTAAGGTTGTACCAGGAGGCGATGGGGGGCTGAGTGTTGACCTGGCAGGAGTAGGAACCAGCATCGCGGGGCTGCGTGTACCTGATGGTGAGAGTCCAGGAGTCGTGTAGGTGAGAGACACTCACTCGAGAGTCCGATGAGAAGGTCACCGCTCCTGAGCTCAGTACGTGAAGGTCACGACCTCTGATCCACGACACCTGCACACAATAACACCTGTCACTCTCAACACCTGTCATTTTTTATTTTTCAGTTTTTTTAATTTAAATTTGTAAATGAAATACACATGCACACACATACCCGCACACACACACACACACACACACACACACACACACACCCCACACACACACACACATACACACACACACATCAGGAGGAGAGTGGTGGAGCACCTGCAACGGAACAAGAGTATAAACGCCAACCAGCACGGATTCATGGAAGGCAAATCCTGTGTCACAAACCTTCTGGAGTTTTATGATAAAGTAACAGAAGTAAGACACGAGAGAGAGGGGTGGGTTGATTGCATCTTCTTGGACTGCAAGAAGGCCTTTGACACAGTTCCTCACAAGAGATTAGTGCAGAAGCTAGAGGATCAGGCGCATATAACAGGAAGGGCACTACAATGGATCAGAGAATACCTGACAGGGAGGCAACAACGAGTCAGGGTACGTGATGAGGTATCACAGTGGGTACCTGTGACGAGCGGGGTCCCACAGGGGTCGGTCCTAGAACCAGTGCTATTTTTGGTATATGTGAACGACATGATGGAAGGGTTAGACTCAGAAGTGTCCCTGTTCGCAGATGATGTGAAGTTAATGAGGAGAATTAAATCAGATGAGGATCAGGCAGAACTTCAAAGAGATCTGGACAGACTGGACACCTGGTCCAGCAACTGGCTTCTCGAATTTAGCCCCGCCAAATACAAAGTCATGAAGATCGGGAAAGGGCACAGAAGACCGCAGACGGAGTATAGGCTAGGTGGCCAAACCTCGCTCAAGGAGGAAGATCTTGGGGTGAGTATAACACCGAGCATGTCTGCGGAAGCACACATCAACCAGATAACTGCTGCAGCATATGTGCGCCTGGCAAACCTGAGAACAGCGTTCCGATACCTTAATAAGGAATCGTTCAAGACACTGTACACCGTGTACGTCAGGCCCATACTGGAGTATGCACCGCCTCTTAGGAACCCGCACTTGATCAAGCACGTCAAGAAATTAGAGAAAGTGCAAAGGTTTGCGACAAAGTTAGTTCCAGAGCTAAGGGGAATGTCCTGTGAAGAAAGGTTAAGGGATATCGGCCTGACGATACTGGAGGACAGGAGGCTCAGGAGAGACATGATGACGACATATAAAATACTGCGTGGAATAGACAAGGTGGACAAAGACAGGATGTTCCAGAGAGGGGACACAGAAACAAGAGGTCACAATTGGAAGTTGAAGACTCAGATGAGTCAAAAGGATGTTAGGAAGCATTTCTTCAGTCATAGAGTAGTCAGGCAGTGGAATAACCTAGAAAGTGATGTAGTGGAGGCAGGAATCATACACAGTTTTAAGACGAGTTTTGATAAAGCTCATTGAGCGGGGAGAGAGAGGACCCAGTAGCAACCGATGAAGAGGCGGGGCCAGGAGCTAAGAATCGATCCCTGAAACCACAAATAGGTGAGTACACACACACACACACACACACACACACACACACACACAGTGTGTGTATGTGTACATAAACGCATACATGTATTTGTCTGTACTTATATGCATACACGTACATGTATTCATACATGTTCAAGTGAACCACAAGCACATTACTCATATCTAAGCTCACATTCACATACTTCCCACATAACTGCACATTCATACATACATGAATGATATACACATTCCTTCGAATGTGTATACCATTCATGTGTAATTAATGAGACATTAGATTTAAAAGTCCTAGACCGAATATGTGAAAAATGGCACTAATTACTAATTACGGATACATTTGCTGCAAAATTAAACTTTTCCTAAAATATATTATATCACAAACTATGATATGCTATATTCTAGAGTCTCCAGTTCTGACGTCACGTTAAATGAACGAGAAATTTTAAAGGGGTGGACCGGTAAGCCAGTGGAAGGCCTCGGTCAGATGACCAAAAGCTCCAGCGGCGGGTCATTATGTGACTTAGACCCGCGTCAGGAAACATTTGTCCTGTTTCCTGACAAATCTTTCCTAACCTGACATGATGTCACATAATACAAATGATTTTTTTTCTAATCATTCACCGAAATGAGGACTATTTGTTGCATTAAAAAATATACTCTTGGTTAAATTTAGCTTATATTTGTAGGCAGTAAAACGGAAGAGGAGTAGAGTATATTTCGATCCCAAACTGAGGACCCTTATCAGCGAGGCCTGAGTTGACATTTTGACAACAGTGTGAAGTTGAAATACACTGTACTCTTCTAACCTACTGTTTTGTTTCCATTCGGGATGTGCTATTGACCTTTGTTTACTAAATTTTTATTTTTGGACACAACTATGCGGAGGATGATCAAACAGATATCTAAAAGGCATTTTCTGAGTCAGCCTTTTCCAGTGTGGGAAGGTGGTGAACAACCTCTCGGAGGTGGCCAACAGTTTTGCTGAGAGATTCTCGTCTGTCTGTACTGTCAGGAGCTACAGTTTTGACAGTACGTAGACTTTGGGAAATGGTCTCCTTGCCGATTATGAAGGGCACTGGGGGAGCCTTGTGATTTGATGCTTTGGGCGGGGAGAATTGTAATCTGCCTTGTTGGCGTCATTTTTCACGGCTCAGAGCAACGTTGGGGTCTATTACGACATATTGCACACCTATCCTTCCCTAGCGTTTTTACTGAGTAATTTTAACTATATTTGGACGGACAAGTCGAGTACTTTCCCATAGTTGATGGCAATCTAACCCTTAACCAGGCTGGGACTCCAGGAAACTGCAAATTGCTGTCCAAGCTCTCTGACAAGCTACATTTGGAGATACCCGAAGACGTTGTAATTTAGCTTCCGCAAGCCCCTCTTGATGTCTGATACTCTGGTTAGGTTGGCTGCTAACATCCAAGATTGTTTTGACAGATGTCATTATACTTTGGTGGTCTTCGATCGAAAGAAAGCACTGAGAAAACGTGGAATCATGACATTTTTCGCTATGTCCAGTCACTAGGGCTGCAGGGTCAGCTATTCCAGTTTCACAAACAGTTTCTGATTAAAAGGTATTTCAAGGTAAGGGTTGGTTTGTGCTACTCGTGGAAGTTTTACTAGTAAGGGGGAATGGAGAGGAAGGCCAGCAGAGCAGCAGCTTGAGCATGACATGTTTTATAGTAGCCATCGATGGCTTAGAGGCGTTCCTGTCGAGATCAAGGTCTCCATGTATGTGGATGCTCTTACATTGTAGTATTCATCTAATTACAAGGTGCCCTGTCGCCGGTTTCAGGTGGCAGTGGACAACATAATAGTATGAACTGCTTCTATCGGCTACCGGTTTTTCACTATGACATGGTGGCTGTTCATTAAATTTATCCTGCTTCCCACGTGCTACTGAATGATGTGATCCTGCCATACAAGCAGCAGGTGAGATTTTAGGAATGATGTTTGACCGATGCCAGACGTGGGCTTCGTATGACACGAAGCATAAAATGGGTGCAATGCAGGTGTTCGACATTCTTAAGGTGCTCTCACCAGACCAAGGAAAGAGAGCGGTAGACCATATTGTACCTGTATGTGGCCACACTCCAGGACGGAAATTAGCTGCCAGATCTAGTCCTCGGCCAGGTCTTCTCTGTTGTCCAAGGGATCAGGATTTGTCCTGATGCATCCCATACTTCCCTCTTGAAAGACTCTGTATTCAGTCGGGTGAGCTTTCCCTGTCTTTCCACCATGAGAATCTAGGAATGAGCTTCCTTTTCCGGGTTAGACATATGCTTAGCAGCCCGGCTAATGGTGCAGTCTTCATGGAGAAAGAGAATGAGACCATTGCTCGTCTTGCCGAGGCTTCCTGTGTGCGTGCAGGCTGCTCACTAGAATTATGTCCGTTAATATAATGGGTTTAACATTAATATTTATATTCCAGTGTACTTCATGTAAGAAAATGACGAGAACATTATATGTACCGAGCGTGGTATATTTAAGTATTTAATTACAAGAATGCATGTGCCAGTGCCTAAATGTTTATGAGACGTTCTTGCGGGCAGTATGTTTAAGGTGTGAATATTTCCTTGCTCTGTGTATAATATATACATAATATTGCAAATTATTTACTCTGCCTCTTCTCTTCACAAAGATCAAAATCATCCAGTTCCACCTCAAAGTCTTTCTCGCTTTCAGGTCTCTGGCTGACATATGTCCATGCACATCAGCTGATTAGTCCGGCATGCAGAGTCTAGATGTGTGGTCAATCAGAGGCACTACAGCCTGATTGACATGTAGTTATCTAATGAATGTAAACAGTTCACAATACGACTGTTTCTCTGCAGCCTCATAGTGAGCCTCTGTAGTCTCTTTCTCCAGCAACTGCACTGCTGACACTAGCAGCATCTGCAAACTATGTGTACAGACGGTAGCGAGACCTGTGGTAGTGACCTTCAGCAACTACAGTTCTCTTTTTATAACGTCAGACATTCTTTTGTCCAGTTTCCTGGTTGCAAGTTTCCTTATTTTCTCATTTTCTCTTCGCTTGGTGTACTGTGTAAGAGCCTCTTATCTGTTGGGGGCCTCACAAATATATATATATATATATATATATATATATATATATATATATATATATATATATATATATATATATATATATATATATATATATATATATATATATATATATATATTATATATAATTTTAATATTTATATATATATATATATATATATATATATATATTTCCTCGCCGATGATGCACTTTCCCTCATAAACTGAGAATTGAAGAGGGCCTTTCCTCACTAACTTTAGGAAGCTTCGACTTTTATTCATCTTATTTTGCAGTAGTGTCATCTAGAATTTTTTTTTTAACTGTGGTAGGTTCTCTGTAGTATTTCCCCTCAGGCAAGTCTTTTCCTTTATCTCTAAGACTGTAGCATTTTGTCTGGTTCTATCAGCTCTCCAAGGGTTTTCCAGGAGTCCAGTCTTGTTGGTGATACCTGGTTTGAGTCTTGATGCAAGCTATGAGAGCTCTCTTCGGCTCTATGCCGTAGCGTCCTGTTTCAGTAACTGGGTTTATCACCAGTCAGTTGGTGGTCCCCCAAAACCTACGAACACAGAATTAATTTAAGAAATTAATAACAGAGTGTGACTGATTTTTTCGATCGTTGTGTATAAAATCATAAGAATACAAGTATTAATATAATTCGTTTACTAAATTATTCAGCGAAAGCATTCCTGGTATGTTCACTTCAGCTGTAGCGACACCATATGCATAATTTGGATGTATTTTTCTCATCTAGTTCATAAAATAAGAAAATCTAATTTTAAATAAAAAGCCTTAATTAAAATATATTTCGGTAATCCATAAAATGCATTTACCTGAAAATCAACTCTAGGACGTTCTTTCTCTAAAATTTGAAAGGAAAACCTCAAATACAATATAATTTTAAGTATAGCCATTCAGATCACTTCCACATTTTCCACCCGAAGCAAATTAAACCACAGATTATGTACCATCAGACTCACATACCTACATAGCACGCCATTTTGATCCATACATTTATATTTATATAAGGTGTCATGCAATAAGGCTAAGCTGCTCATGCTTTAGTATACATATATGAGCCCAACCAGCAAAATTTTATCCCTGATTTAGTTGGCACATCATGTGAACACCAGGATGTGCTGTTGCTCATGGATTATATAGATTCGGATAGCATACTGTTAACAATATTGAAGAGCATATGCACATTAGAGAGCAAACTCTTACTGAGATCAGATTTCATTATATGTAGAGCTTTAATACAATAAAGGAATGTTCTGCATTGTGTCTTTAATCTGGTTAGAGTTGATTACGTGTATTAGATGAAGCACCAGGATGCATGAATTGCAAGAAAAAAAATTATTAGGTTTAAGTGCGTCAGAAAGAATGGGAAGACACCATGACTACTTGACATCCGTCCATTTATTCATTCATTTTGACCAATAATGTGACCAGACGCTTTATTAAACATTGCAGGAACCACTCTAACAATTCTTCATCCTCCAGATTCAAATCATATCTGGTAGTATTGCACTCTTTTTAATTTAACGCCAAAAACTGGTAAGTGGGACAATATTTGTTTCCACAATAGCAGATTTGCCGTGGGTTTTTGCACATGGGAACTTGTAAATAGTTTTAGAGCATTGATCTTGTGCATGAGTCTTAGGCACAGGTCGCAGTTACGCCTTTGTCGTTTTTGATGTCATGTGATATTGTCAGATTGTTTAATATATATAACTGTCTATTTTCTACGCACACTGTACATGCTTGTCTGTCTAACTACTTGACAGTTCGCCTACCTGTCTGTTAGCCAAGTGCTTGACGATACAGGTGAGTGTTGCTGCCTGGCCAGCCCGCACTGTGACGTGTCTGCTGGGAGCCTCAACGAAGTAGAGTCCCTTAGACTCAGTATCATTGCTGAGCGATCCATCATTGATGCTGCTGAGTGCCTCCGGCTGCCCCTGATTTTGCTGCCTCTGTTCCATCTGCCCCTGCTCCTGCTGCCTCTGCTCTTGCTCCAGCTGTCCCTGTTCATGTCTCTCTTTGGTGTTCGTCCTGCTTGACCGGTTCATGTTCACCACGCTACCTCCCACTACTGCAACTAAAACCGAGTGGAATTATGAGCATTGACGGAAGAGAAGCATTTATTTATAAAGTGTGTCAGACTGATATCCAGTCTTCAGAATTTTAGAAATATTCCTACCGGGTTGTCGCATGAATAAAACAATAGTCTGAATAACTTAGAGAAGAGGTGGTAACTTACAACACGGGCTGCCACAGAGATGTGCAACGGAACACCGTGCCTGGACAAGCCTTAACAATTAAAGCATGAGCTTGTATTCCGTTTCATATAAACTGGAAACGCTATGGCTTCCCCCAAGCTACTGAGGCGCTGTCCTCACGTCAAGGGAGAGTTCAGGATGCACTCTTATGTCAAGGCTTTGAGCGTGATATTCTCTTTCATGGATCGAGCTTCAATACCTACCCCAAAGTACTGATAATCTCGTAGGGGTCATCAACTTATCCCTCCACGTTTCTGATCCCAACTAGAGGTTCCAGTTCTTCCCGTTTGTTTCTTAGTGATTCATATAACCAGCTAAAAGTGTGTGTGTTTGTGTGTGTTTATGTGTGTGTGTGTGTGTTTTTGTGTGTGTGTATGTGTGTGTTTGTGTGTGAGTGTGTGTGTGTGTGTGCGTGTGTGTGTGTGTGTGTTTGTGTGTGTGTGTATATGTGTGTGTGTGTGTGTGTGTGTGTGTGTGTGTGTGTGTGTGTGTGTGTGTGTGTGTGTGTGTGTGTGTTAGTTATATAGTTACCAGATATCAAAGGCACTTGTCGAGACACACTTTGCCTGTTGAGATGTGTGTGGTGTGCGTGTGTGTGTTTGTGTGTGTGTTTGTGTGTGTGTGTGTTTGTGTGTGTTTGTTTGTGTGCGTGCGTTAGTTATATAGTTACCAGTTATCAAAGGCACTTGTCGAGACACACTTTGCCTGTTGAGATGTGTACTCACCTAGTTGAGGTTGCAGGGGTCGAGTCCAAGCTCCTGGCCCCGCCTCTTCACTGGTCGTTACTAGGTCACTCTCTCTGAGCCGTGAGCTTTATCATACCTCTGCTTAAAGCTATGTATGGATCCTGCCTCCACTACATCGCTTCCCAAACTATTCCACTTCCTGTCTACTCTGTGGCTGAAGAAATACTTCCTAACATCCCTGTAATTCATCTGTGTCTTCAGCTTCCAACTGTGTCCCCTTGTTGCTGTGTCCCATCTCTGGAACATCCTTTCTTTGTCCATCTTGTCAATTCCTCTCAGTATTTTGTATGTTGTTATCATGTGCCCCCTATCTCTCCTGTCCTCCAGTGTCGTCAGGTTGATTTCCCTTAGCCTCTCCTCGTATGACATACCTCTTAGCTCTGGGACTAGTCTTGTTGCAAACCTCTGCACTTTAGTTTCTTCACGAGCTTGGCTAGGTGTGGGTTCCAAACTGGTGCCGCATACTCCAATATGGGCCTAACGTACACGGTGTACAGGATCCTGAACGATTCCTTATTAAGATGTCGGAATGCTGTTCTGAGGTTTGCTAGGCGCCCATATGCTGCAGCAGTTATTTGGTTGATGTGCGCTTCAGGAGATGTGCCTGGTGTTATACTCACCTCAACATCTTTTTCCTTGAATGAGGTTTGTAGTCTTTGGCCCCCTAGACTGTACTCCGTCTGCGGTCTTCTTTGCCCTTCCCCAATCGTCATGACTTTGCACTTGGTGGGATTGAACTTCAAGAACCAATTACTGGACCAGGTCTGCAGCCTGTCCAGATCCCTTTGTAGCTCTGCCTGGTCTTCGATCGAATGAATTCTTCTCATCAACTTCACGTCATCTGCAAACAGGGACACTTAAGAGTCTATTCCTTCCGTCATGTCGTTCACAAATGCCAGAAACAGAGCTGGTCCTATGACTGACCCCCATGTCATAGAACTCCAGTAGGCTTGTGACAGGATTTCCCATCCCTGAAACCATGTTGGCTGCTGTTGATGAGATCATTCCTTTTAAGGTGTTCCACCACTCTTCTCCTGATAATCTTCTCCATGACTTTGCATACTATACATGTCAATGACACTGGTCTGTAGTTTAGTGCTTCTTGTCTGTCTCCTTTTTTAAAGATTGGGACTTCATTTGCTGTCTTCCATGCTTCAGGCAATCTCCCTGTTTCGATAGATGTATTGAATATTGTTGTTAGGGGTATACATAGCGCCTCTGCTCCCTCTCTCAGGACCCATGGAGAGATATTATCCGGCCCCATTGCCTTTAAGGTATTTAGCTCACTCAAAAGCCATTCACTTCTTCCTCGATTGTGTGTACTGTGGTGTGCCCCACCTCTCTGTCTTTCTGGAGCCCCTTCTGTCTCCTCTGTGAACACTTCTTTGAATCTCTTGTTGAGTTCCTCACATACTTCACTGTCATTTCTTGTTGTCTCTCCTCCTTCCTTCCTTAGCCTGATTTCCTGGTCCTTGACTGTTTTCCTCCTGATGTGGCTGTATAACAGCTTCGGGTCAAATTTGGCTTTCGCTGCTACGTCGTTTTCATATTGTCGTTGGGCCTCCCTTCTTATCTGTGCATGTTCATTTCTGGCTCTACGACTGCTCTCTTTATTCTCCTGGGTCCTTTGCCTTCTATATTTCTTCCATTCCCTAGCAGACTTGGTTTTTGCCTCCCTGCACCTTTGGGTGAACCATGGGCTCATCCTGGCTTTTTCATTATTCCTGTTACCCTTGGGTACAAACCTCTCCTCAGCCTCCTTGCACATTGTTGCTACATATTCCATCATCTCATTAACTGGCTTCCCTGCCAGTTCTATGTCCCATTGAACCCCGTTCAGGAAGTTCCTCATTCCCGTGTAGTCCCCTTTCTTGTAGTTTGGCTTCATTCGTCCTGGCCCTCCTGTTTCCCCCTCCACTTGTAGCTCTACTGTGTATTCGAAGCTTAAAACCACATGATCGCTGGCCCCAAGGGGTCTTTCATATGTGATGTCCTCAACATCTGCACTACTCAAGGTGAATACTAGGTCCAGTCTTGCTGGTTCATCCTCTCCTCTCTCTCTTGTAGTGTCCCTTACGTGTTGGTACATGAAAGTTTCCAGTACCACCTCTATCCTCTTAGCCCTCCATGTATCTTGGCCCTCATGTGGCTCCAAGTTCTCCCAATCGATCTCCTTGTGGTTAAAGTCACCCATGATCAGGAGCTTTGCCCTGCATGCATGAACTCTTGTGGCCATTGCAGCCAGTGTGTCAACCATCGCTCTATTGCTCTCGTCATACTGTTGCCTTGGCCTCCTGCTGTTCTGTGGTGGGTTATACATCAATGCAATTACCACCTTGGGACCTCCAGAGTGAAGCGTTCCCGCTATGTAATCGCTTGTTTCTCCGCTGTCTCCTCTCTCCAGCTCATCAAAATTCCATCGGTGTTTGATCAGCAGTGCCACTCCTCCCCCCTCCCTGTTCCCTCTGTCTTTCCTCAGGATCTGGTATCCCGTTGGAAAGATGGCATCTGTTATCATACATGTAAGCTTGGTTTCTGTGAGAGCTACGATGTCCGGTGATGCCTCTTTGGCTCTTTCGTGCCAATCCTCCCACTTATTTCTTATTCCATCAGCGTTTGTGTAGCATACCTTCAGTTTGTATGTGTGTGTGTGTGTGTGTGTGTGTGTGTGTGTGTGTGTGTGTGTTTGTGTGTGTGTGTGTGTGTGTGTGTGTGTGTGTTCATGTGTGCGTGTATGTGTGTTCGTATGTGCATGTATATCTGTGTGTGTTTTCCCACGTTAATACATAATTAATAACTGAATTTATAAATCTTTTATTTAACGATAGTGACAGAAGAAATTCTTTACGAGAATCTAATTGAAGTAAAAATCTCTTCCGAGGGAAAAAAAAAACAATTTTATCGTTTGTAGTTTTATGAGCAAATTTACTTTAAATTCAAGTATTTAATCCGGCTTAAAAGATGGAGAGAGATTTACCTGGAGTTTACCTGGAGAGAGTTTCGGGGGTCAACGCCCCCGCGGCTCGGTCTGAGACCAAGCCTCATGGGGGATCAGGATCTGATCAACCAGGCTGTTATTAAGGTGACTTAAGATATATACTGCCCAGTCACACACACAATTTATGGGTATAAGGTTACAATCCAACCAGTCGAGAGAAAAAAAAATAAAAAATATGATAATGGACACTAACACCCAATACTAATTGAAAGTAATGATTACCAAACATCTTTCTAAATCCATAATAACAATCATTATATTTACAAGTACATGTACAAGGTATACAAGTACATGTACAAGGTATACAAGTACATGTACAAGGTATACAAGTACATGTACAAGGTATACAAGTACATGTACAAGGTATACAAGTACATGTACAAGGTATACAAGTACATGTACAAGGTATACAAGTACATGTACAAGGTATACAAGTACATGTACGAGGTATACAAGTACATGTACAAGGTATACAAGTACATGTACAAGGTATACAGACCATAGCTGACATCAGTGACATACTACTGTATAGAAAGTCCCTTGTTATGCTGAACATTTCGGCCAATTGGGTCAATTTTGTCCCCAGGATGCGACCCACACCAGTCGAATAACACCCAGGTACCTGTTTTACTGATAGATGAACATGGACAGCAGGTGTCTTAAGGAAACAAGTCCTAATATTTCCACCGGTACAGGGGATCGAACCACGGACCTCAGTGTGTGAGCTGAGTGTGCTGTTGTTTAAACTCAATCTATCAAAATCTTGTATACCTTAATTAATAAATTAAAACTAACTCAGTTAGCAAACAATTGGAAATTCAACAGATTTATTTTGCATGCACATTTATTACGAGAAGCAAAATACATTAGCATATAAACTCATTTATTTTGTGGCATTTTTTTTTAATTAATGGTTTTTAGTAAATTAATACAATCAACTGTATTATTTCTCTCAATGTTCTCGAATGTTCCACGAAAAAAAAAAAAAATACTGACCAGCCTCCACCAAAATGTATCAAAATATTTTAGTACGGCATACCGCCAGATGTTTTTTATATTGAAATATAATTTGAAT